CAGTAGAAAAATAAAGCAAATAATTGAGCTACAACAGCTAGTTTCATGCTGAAAGAACAGTGTTCGCATTACAGTTGCTTGCTGCTACTAAGAGTCACTGTGACTCCAGGAGAGATGCCTGTATTTCAACCACTGACTAGCATGAGGGCCAAATAATTTAATAGTCATCAACAGTGAATTTAATGGCATTATTTTGTATTCAGCTAGTGCTATTGAAAGCAGAATTTTGTCTTAATAGGAAACAAAACAATCTGTACTTCTACCAGATTCTAATGGAAAAGATGTAAAGGCACAATTGTGCTCAGCACAATTGAATGAGGGAAAAAGAGAATGGGGAAGATGTCAAAGATACAACTATGGCCTCTCATATGCTGATCAATCTATACTGACAGACCCTGGATGACTTAAAAACTTATCATGAGATCACTCCAGTCTCCACCACGGGAATGGAGTTTCCATGAAATGGAAGATCACTGGAGCAAAGCATCCCAAATACCGCTTTGTTCCCAGTTAAAATCTCTAATGAGATTGGAAAGGCACAGAAATCACTTCTGCTTGGCTTTATTGCTGTAGTGAGGGAGGGTTTTCTTCTGGTCACATAAAACAAAATCTGTTCCTTTGTGCCACTTTCACAGGATTAGGCATTCTAACCGGGGATTTATAATTCGCCTGTATGGGGCTGCATCTAGACTGAATGGTTTAGAAGAGTTCCCTGTGGGTCCAAGATCCCTGGGTGTGCAAATCAAGTTCCCTGGTACCCAGGCAGGTAGGCTCCGTCCTGGGAAATCGGGAGGGATGGTGGGTGGCTGAGTCTCCAAGGACAGGGGCTAACAAGACAGCTGAGGCAGGAATCTGAAATGGGAATGTGTTCCTGTATCCTCCATCAGAGCCTGAGCCTCTGGCATAAGCATAGGCCAACCTCTCACCTGAAGAGCTGCATGCAAAGGGACTCCTGCTGTCTGTGCTCCCCTTCTCTCTCTTCATCTCTCACCTCTTTTCTGAGCAGAAATGCTGAGCTGAAGCAGGCTGGGTTCCATCTCTCTCTAGTTGTGCTCCCCTTTCTTGGAGTTTCAGGAGTGACAGAATTCCTGGATGTGGTTTCTTTTGTGAGTGTAGCTGCATGGAGAGGTGTGCCTGAATGTAGGTCTTCACCTAACTTAGCCCTGGAACAATAAAAGTTCTGTAAATTAAGACTGGGTGTTTAAATCTGAGCCAAAAAATTATACAGGGGTCAATTAAGGCTGTGAACTGTGTTGTGCAAAACCCTGTATTTTTATCAGTCTCCTTTGCACACTTAACCCATCAAGTACAGGCTCCTCCAGCTGGATTTGCACTGTGGTGAGGCAGCTTTCTGGCAGAGGTGGCCACAAGTCCACATTTGCAGAACAAGCCTGAAGGA